AAAAAATCACAAGCTAGTAATTAGAATGAAAAGGGGAAATAACTGCAGATACAATCAATATTTTCAAAAACCAAGACTCCTATAAACAATACTGCCAATGAATTTGAAAACTGAGATGCAATGGACAATTGCCTAGAAAAACAAAAATATCAAAAATGACCAAAAAAGAAGGAGAAAACCCAAACAGACCTATTACAGAAATTCAATCAGTTTTAGCTCTACTCATTTTCAGTCATGAAATGCAGTTAGAGCAGCAGCATGATGTCATTTTACAAAACCAACCAACTGAACAAAAAGTGAATGTCTGATAGTACCAATAGTGGGTGAGGATATGGAGACAGGTAGCACCCAGACACTATGGGTAGGAGTGCATATCGGGACAAGTGCTTTAGAGTAAAGACGAAGTTGTTCATTCCATACCAACCTGCAAGTCTAGGTAGCTCCCCTGGAGAAACCTTTGCCCGGATGCGCTGGAAGATGGGCCCTACACTTCGTTCAGGTATTTAGTCCACAGGTACTTAGTATGCCAAGCATCACAGGCATCAATAATCTATGCACCAGATTATTGTAGCATCGTTTGGAAATAACCTACTTTGCATTAATGGCAAAATGGAAATACTGTAGTCTATTCACAAATGGAAAATATCCATACAGCAGATGAAAATCATGCAAGAGTTTAAATAGCTGTTTCTCTAAAACAGAAGGCTAAGTGATAAGTTAAAGAAGCCCAGAATGTTACCATTTAGATAAAGTTGGAAAACACACAAAACAATATACACTCGCAACAGCAGCATCACCTGGGAAGTTGTTAGAAATGGTCCATAATAAATTCAGAATAGTGGTTATGTCTGGACAGAGAAAAAGGAGCGAAATGGAATCAGGAAGAATACAGTGAGGGCTTTGATTATATCTGTAACACTTTATTTTCTTTACAAATGTGAGACAAACATGGCAAAACATTAATATTGACTAATCTGAGTGATGGGTACACAGATTTTTTTTTCTCTGTTCATTTTATGTTTCAAAATTCCACAATAAAAATTAGTAAAAGAAGGGCCGGCCGAGTGGCGCAATGGTTAAGAACTGGCTTGGGACGCCAGAGGGCCCCGGTTCGGATCCCACATATGAGGGCCAGTGACACT